TGCCCTCACTTGCTGCAGCAAAACCACACAAAAAAAAAGTGGAACAGAACAAAAGATTTTTTTTCTCCCTTTTGGAAACTTTTTTTTCCTGTGTCGGACTATTGTTGGCCTTCTTTCTATTGTTTGCAGACACATACAACAACAAAAAAACACAGTAACAATCATATTTCAGATATGTTTGTGGCACTTCTATAAGCAAACAAGACATTGAATGGGCAATATTATTTTTCCAAGTAATTTTCTGCAATTTTCACTTGAGCATTGTTTACATTTTCATGCTTTGTGTACTACAAATAACTCTATCGACTGCCGCTTCATTTTCATCCTGTGACAAATTTCCATTGTCCCATGTTCATGGTAGGGGAAAGAATATTTTTTGTTCTCTAGTGTTTTACGGCATAGAGGGGACACATGACATTATGTAATATAAATAAGAGAATCATAGAAATGATGTAAACATCAAAATAATAAAAAGGGGAATGAAGGAACAACAGGAAGTCCTTGAATAGTCATTTGTACATAAATCCTGATAATAAGAGATAGCAATTTGACAAATAAGTGAGTGATAAGAAGACGAGGGAGGAAGAATATAAAAAGATTGGAAAATAATGACGACATGTCGAAAGGCTCTTGATTTTGTGTACATCAAAATCATGGAGAAGTGGACGGAAAGTGAAAATTATGTGTACACAGTGAATGACACCAAGTAGTAAATGGTGCAATAAAAATGTTATGCTCGTTTATAAAGCATTGAAGCGTCGTTAAATCAAAAACAGATTGAGGAATAAAGTGATGGAATTCCAGGAATATTTAAGTTGAAAAAATTATGGAAATAGCAGTAAAGTGACTGTTTTTGAAAGCCCAATTCTTTTTAAGTGATTGCTCTCAAAAATTGCAGACTTTACGCTTCACATAGCAACCTCAGAAGTGTTGATAATCGTATTCATAAGTATCGTCTGAGTACATCCAGTTGAAAAATTTTTACTGCATCTAGTGGACATTTATGATTTGTTTTGTTTAACTTCAACTGACAACTCGTGACAAAGACTTTAATACTTTGATGGGCGAACAGATAAAATGTGTCTCATGTTGATGGCATCTAAAGCAGGCTTTATCGTTTGTTATAACTTGCCAGTGCTTCTCTGTCTGTTGAATTTTTGCATATTCTTAGTTAAAAATAATGAATTGTCACTTTATATCTATAAAGATCTAGATATATTACCAAAGAAGAGGGGGGGGGGGTGGTTTAATTTTTTAAAAATATGTGAATTCTTGACCCTAAGAACGCACATGCACTCAGTGTACAAAAAGTTAAAACCAGTGTTACCAAAATTTCTCCAATTCAAGATCCACACCAGTCTCAAGCTGGCCTGTAGTAATTATTTTTCGATTTTTCTCCATTATATGCCATCCGAGTTGCTTTATAGCTTTAATAATCCCAAAACTCCTTCATTCAAACAACCAGCTAGAAACACAACCCTAAAGCTGCTCATATTTCATACCATAACAACCAGCATAGATGATAATAATCCAAAACAAATGAGAAAGACAGAAAGTGAATATCCATCAAGTAACAAAAGTACATCCATGGCATTCTATTCATTCAATTCTGTGTTTTATTTCCTCCTATGATATTTTATCAACGACAGTGATGGCTTAATAGAATGTTCTTAAAAGCACGAGTTGTGCTTTGTTTATTCATAATTGCTTGTTTGGTCCTTTTTTTGCATCTTCGTCCTCTTCTTATTAATTTTTTTTTCTCATTGAGTGGATGTGGATGAGAACGCGCACATTGCACGAGGTTATACATCCATAATTCCTTATTTATAATGCCATCATCGCTTAGACTTTCAACACATAGCACAACAGTGGATGTTAAAAAAAGAGGAGCAGGCTTGAAGGCATAAAGCATATATATTTTACGACACATATACAAAGTAAATGTATGAGAGAGATTATAACCCACTCAGGGATTAAATGCCGTTCATATAAAACAAACGGAAAATGTCTAGTCATGAAAATACATGAGAGAGACTTATAAACTTTTTTTTTCTTTTGCTACTCTTGCCTTGTAAACTCACATTTCATTTTTCAGCTGCTATATGACTTTTTTTTTCATTCATATGAAATTTTAGCGTTGTCGTCAAAGTTTTATGCTGTACAAAAGGCACGAGTTTCTATAAGAAGCAACACAAAAGAGAAGAGAAGAAAAAAAACTTTTTTTTCATGCGACAAGCCATGAAGAAGAGAAATTTTTTTGGGTCTTGATGAGTTTCGTTCAGTGTTCTTTTTCTCTATGATAATAAATGTCAATTCCCGATATCTTCTTTTGATAGAATGAGAAGAAAAAAAAAATGGAAAGTTTATCATAAGAGCTTTTCAGTCAGAGCTTTCTTATTCTCTCAAGATCATCGAAAATTTGCATAAAAGTGATTTATTTTTGGGGGCACTCGAAGAGAGATGGAGAGAAGAAATGAGTAAGGAATGTTCGGATAAGTGAGCTGAAGTGGCTCGGTGGCGGAATGGTTTAGTACTTCGGTACCTAATTATTGCAATACCGACACAGCGATCATGGGTTCGAGACTGGGTATGGGAAATTTTTCACTTGTTCTTTTTCGAATCATATGTACTGGAAATGAGGCTCACAGCCTTCCTTTGTAGGCTACAGACAGAAATGTCATCAAAGGAGTGGTTCGGATCCCACTATAAATTGTAGGTCTAGGTTTGAGTGCAGTGGTTTGGCGCATCCTCACTCGTTAAACTCTCATTAGCTGCGAATTGCCCTAGCGCACCTCTGGATCACAATTGATCTGAATAGGTAAAGGTTTTTTTTTTTTTTTTTTTTTTTTTTATGTTCGGATAAATGCTTAAATTATAAGCGCTTAATTCGGGCTTTATTGATCACACATCCTAATATTATTTGAAGAATGAAAGCTGGGGAACAGTTTGGGACTTAAAACAGTTAATTTGATAAAAATTCGTCAAATTCAGCAACCAAACTTAGGGCGTTCTGAATCCATTTTTTAAGTGATATCAAAACTTTCCAGGCTCAGAAACTAGGCTGTATACTGACAAATACCCCAAAATACCTCATCTTTATTTCAAATATCGCATAATACCACCTATAAAATACCGCCTAGTTTCCGAGCTTATGAAACTTCATTTTCGACATCCTTACACATTAACTGCTAGCTTGTTCTCATTCCTTTATGGATTAACCCCCTCGCCTAACTTATTCAGTGCCGGAAAAAAATCAGAATTAGTATTTTAAACCCTAGGCCAGTGTTTTTTTTGGTTGGCGTCTTTAGGCACTGCCTTAGTCATAGCAAGGCTGCATCATCTCTGAGCTTAACAATATAGTCGCCACAATATCGATAGGTTGTTATTTTGACAATTCAATGTTAAACAGGCGATAGAATACCTTAATGATACCATAACGACTAATTCTAGTCGATAAAATGTGAGATTTTCAACTGTACCCCATCCAAATGAAATCATTTTCATCCCACAGACAGTGAGACAGACTTACAAAGTTACCAACAAAGTCTACAAAAATCATTGCGAAAAAGGAAAATTTTTCCGAGTGTTGAAGATGAATTATGATTCGAGATGAACATGAGAAATCTTCTTGTTAAAGAATTTGAATTAGATTTGGGGTTTTTGTGATTTGGATCGAAAATTATCATATTTTAGAAAATAGATTGTGGTCAGTTGGAAATGAATTTGAGGATATGGTTGATTTAAACTTGATGAATGTAGTGCAAATCACAAAATCTGTGGCACATTTAGTCTAAGAAAACTTTCTCGTTCTGTAGGACGAAAAAGTTGATAAAAAGTTTCTAATTCTACAACTTTTTCTATTAAAATATTTATTTAAAATTCAATAAGTCACTTTAACAAATTGAAATTCCTCTAACCTTTGACTTTTACAACTTCAGCATCAACAAAAATAAATTCTTTAAGCTCACGTCATTCGTTCTCTCTAATTTCCACACAGAAAAGCTGGTTAAATGTCTCCATATGTTTTTTTTGGGTCAAATATTTTTTTCACGTCCTATTGTGTGGATGTGCTGCTTTTTCAGCAATAAAGTTTGTCTACTTTTTCAGTTCCAATTCAAATTGCCATTATATTTTCTCGTTTCTGATTTGTCAAATAATTCTTTTTTTATTCTTCACCTATCCACCTCTCTCACACTGTCTGTCTCTTTTCTTCACCTTCTCTCAACAATGACTCTTTTTTTTGGCTTAAAAACTGAAACTGTCCTAGAAAAAGTTTTTGGCAACAAAACGAAAAAGGCATGAAATGAATGTGCAGAAAAGCAATTGAAAATTATACACAAGATAAAAAGTTTTTTCACTACTACTAGTGTCACTAGTTGCAGGGTTGGAGATCGGGTTCTCAGATTATTTTAAATAGAACTCGAAGTCGACTCGAGATTTTCATCGATTTTGTATGGCGGAGCCGAATCCAAGTCGACTCGACTCGATACAAAATTTAATCGACTTTAAGCTCTGATTTTAAGCTTTGTGGATGAGATTGCACTTGATAGCATCTCAAGGAGCTCAAATCACATCTCTAAAATGGGAAGACGTCCACTCTATACCCCCTTCTGGCATAAAACGTTGTATCAAACACGCCAACCCCTTCATTTTGACACAATTAGTCCTTGAAACTTCAACAGACAGTTCCAAGCATGTATTATTGTACTCAATCACCATCCAATCAATGTCCCTGGCCACTAATACAACGTCTGTTGTTGATGCCTGAACATAAATGCCCAAGTCATTTTATCCGTAATTTAATTAATAATAAATTGTGTATTGAATTTTTCTGTAGCCAATTGTCAGCCTGAATATTGGCAACAACTACATTTATAGCCATTGCATGTTGACAATTGACTGAATGAATTTTTCACACTCAATTGAATGTTTAAATCTGATTTTATGATAATAAACATTTATTTCATCTCTCGTCCATATTTTTTTATATTTATTTGCAGTACAAGGCTCACATCGAGATTCCAATAAACAGAGCAAGGACTTATCGACAAGTAGTAATTTAAATAATCCAAATGCTGTCGTTGGCAGTAATAAAAATATTGCTGTCGCATCTACCGCGACAACAACGGACTCAGAAACTAATCGAAATGGCCCATATTTCGACGTAGCTGCCAGCAAAAATGTAAGCATTGATATTTTACAAAAACGAGATATTGAAATGTACCTTTTTTATTCCCATACCCTTCGGGCTGAATTGAATTGAATCTTTAAATTGTCATTAATATTTAAAAATCATTTGCATATGTCCGTAAAAAAAATACAGGTTACAGCACTACTAGGAAAAACTGCTTATTTGAATTGTAGAGTAAAAAATTTAGGTAATAAAACGGTGAGTATCTATGGCAAAAAAAATTTAACTGAATTGGTAATTTTATTGAGCAAATCCTATCCCATTATTTGTGCAACTTATTGGTTTTTCAACTGACTGGTTAAATAACTGATAATTGGAAACTTTTGAGGAAGAGAATTGGAACTTTTGAAAGTTTATATTAGGAGTCGTACGAAAGTGATGTCCATTCACATAAAAGATGCAGACAATTAAAGTGGAATCCGAAATTTAATTGGTGAGGGGAAAGAGGGAGTAGCAGGTCCACAATCCATCATTTTTGTCTTAGCAAATGCTTATACTAGCTCGCCAACCAGTCATTAATTTAATTCGCACTTTATTAAGCTTTAAATACTCTCACTTAGCTTATAGTCATCATCAAGTAAACGACCCCTCAAAAAACTATAATTTTAAAGCAGCACAGCTCATTCTTCTCCAATCGACCTGTGTAAAAGTTGTTATCAAACTGCCAAAAACCCTTTTCACGTTGCCTTCTTTTATTTTTATACAATCTATTGTGATTTGTCCACGAGGGTATTCAAACAATGAAAAGATTTGGGCAATTTTATGGAAGAAAAGTTTCTCGTTTTCACACAGACCCAGTGACAAAGGTGTAAATTATTGATTATCTTAAGGAAGAATTTTTCACCAAAACAAAAAAAAAGTATTTGGGAGACAAGATAAATAATTTCTGTTTCATTATCAATGCTTGGTGTTGTGAATGTACACAATTAGGGATGTTAATGAAAATGTAATCAATATTAAAGATAATGAATGGCACAGAAAATTCTACGAAAAAATTTAGTAGCGTTGAGGATGTGAATGAATGTAAAATTTGTCGTCATCTGCAATTTGAGATGGCTTGAATCATGTAACTATGGAGAATTCAAACGATCCATCATTATGATGGAAGTTGTTCTAGAATTGTCTATGTTACGTATCGCATTTCACTTAAAAATGTGTTCCTGGCAAAATATTTCTGAAATTTGAGCTTCATGGCAACTGTAACTCTTGGCAATCAGTAATAATTCAAGGCTAATTCAAGAGAATTTTTTAAAGTATTTTGCATTTGTAAAGTTAAAGTGAAATTCCGATTAAATCTGGTTAGTTTTGCAATGTATGGGAAGAAAGGGGGGGGGGGCAGAAAAAGGAGTTAACGTAAGCGAACGACAGTACAATACATTATTTTCAATGCTCTTTTATTCATCAATTTCTAAAATTCTTCATCATCTTCCACTTCTTGGAAGGCTTAAGCTTACCAAGCCTTAATTTAAGAAATTATTCCAAATAAAACTCTTTGTTCCTCCTCAAAAAAAAACCCTTTGAACAGTTTAGCATCTCCTTTCTTGATAGTTTGATTTTTTGTTCAATATAGCTTTGTCATGTGTTTCCATCACTGCCTACACATGATCCATTATTCATTGAATATCCCTTTTTTTGGAACCACAAAAGAAAAGCTTTTTTTATTGCATGCCTTAATTTCTTAGAATTATTTTTGTCCTTCTATGAAAAAATCAAAATAAAAGATCTAATCAGTCCAGCCTCGAAAAAAAAAGACCAAAGTCGTTTACTCAACAATCACCCTAATTTCTTAATCGATTGTATTTATTCAGATTAATTCATTAAGCCACTGCAGTGGTGGATAACCTTTTTTGTGCCACGGCATGACGCCTTTTGCATGCTGTTTGTGAAATTTCTCTAAGTTTTTCATTCACACACACACACACACACACACACACTAGTGTGCCGCGGCACATGAGTTGCCCATCACTGCATTAAGCAATTAATCAATTAAAGTTTACTTGAAGCTTTGTGGCCAAGAAGAAGTCAGGAAAAATCCTCGCAGGCCATTTTCTCTCATTTGCAATTTATTCTCCTTTATTTCACCATTTTTCAATAATTTATGTCCATGTATTATTCATTTGAGCATTCATGAAAGAAAATGCCATTGCGATAACGGAATTTTTTTTATGTATATCCATACATCCACCCACATCATTCGTCCCAAAATAAAATTCTCATTTTCCCATCCCTTTTTTATGGGATAAAGGAAAAGCCACACACAAAAAAAAACTAATTCCAAGGATAGAGAAAAATTTTATTTATTTATTTATTTATTTTTTCATTCCTCTGCTGTTGGGTACGAGATTTTTGTACATATGTGAAGTTGGAGATGAATATTATTCAGAATGTATTGCATACGTAAGCATTCAATGGTGAGATCCACAAAACTAAATTTCAAATGCCTATGATTTTTTTTTCTGGTCAGTTTCTGATAGTTTTAGCTTAGTTGGGCTGAATTAATGGATTTCCATTTTTATTTCATTGTGTCGAATAATTTTTTGAAGGCTGAAAATGCTTTTGATATTCATGAGATTTTTTTTAAGGGGGAATTTATTTCACTGTGGCTAATGAATTTGCAGCCAATAGTCCACAAATCAACAAGCGTGGGAGGATCAAATTTAAAAAGGAACGATTTAATATAGAAATTTTTCTAAGTCTTCTACTTTCAAGAAATTGTTGACATTTGTACACAAGCTGAAAATATCTTTGTCGGCACGTTTTAGAATAAAAAAAATGAAAAAGTTTTCTTCGCCTTCAACAAGTTTTTGTTTTTGTAAATTTTACAAAGAAGAGTGAGCTAAATGAAGAAAACAGACAGGCAAAATAGAAACTTGAAAAATTGATTTTAACACAAACTTTTTCACTTCGCAACTTTTCGTTGTTGGTTCCTCTTAGGAAGAAAATTTGGGTCGGAGAAATTCATTTTTGATGAGATTTAAAATATTTAGACTGGAATGTGGGAAATCCTGTGTTGTTCTGTTGATTTCTGTCTGATAAATAGGCTGTCCATCTGTGCAATTTGGAGGGAGACAGTCTCGTTTTTTTGAACGAAGTCCCGTTTCAAATCCTCAACGTCCTCTCTATTTTACTTGCAAAATGCTTGAAAATTTGGTTTGTCCCACTTTTTCGGAGCTAAAATTGGAGCATGTACCGCTTTTTGACCAAAAATAGACAAAGTAAAAAATACTGATAAAGCCAAAAATTGCTTTGAGTGTCATGAGGTTCAATTATAGAACTAGTACTTTCTCATATCTATTATGCCTATAAGGTCGTTAAACTAAGAAATTGTGTCTAATAAAAATCAGGAATTTCAAAACAATCCCTCAAGGGGATCTCTTCTACACTAATACTTTAAAATTGCGCTTTATAAGCCGTCTATATCAGTGATGGTCAACCCATGTGCTGCGTCACACTAGTTTGCTGCCAAAAAATTCGGTAAATCCCACGAAACGTGTACCGTGTGTCATGGCTTTTCATCAAGATGTGCCGTAGCACAGAAGGTTGGCAACCTCAGGTCTATATGAATGATTAAATTTTTAAACGACAATCCTTTTTTTTTAAAAATGTTTCTCTTGTTGTCAAGAATCATCAATTCACCCTCTGTTTCTAGAAAATCATAGCTTATTCCTGCTTTACACTGCATCAGATGTTCAAAAAGCACACAGCGTAAAAATGACTTTCAATCTGTGGTCCGAAATGGCACTAACATGGCACCACGCCAGATTTCACCAAATTTAGCACTATGCCGCGTTAGTGCCGTCCTGGACACTATATTGACAGGCATTATTGTGCCTTTCAGGATGGATTAAGCTGGTGAGCCAAAAAAAGGCCTCAAATGATGACAATTTAGTATAATTGGAGAGGAGGAGGGGGTCATTTGATCAAAAAGTCTAAGTTTTTGATTGACATCAATTTAAACCCCTACCATGTCTTAAGAGTCTATTTTAAACCCCTATCATGTTTTAAGAGTCTATTAAATCCCCCTAATTCATCCAAAAAACTTGCAATCACATATAGATTTATCCACACTCAAGAATCCCTTCCACACACAACAACTTCCAACAAATAAATTTTATTGCACATTTACTCTTCTATCGTTAACTTTGCATTAACTCAGCATGTGTATCAACTGCCTCTCTCACATAAATTTTCTTCTTCATAATCTCCTCCATTCATTTCCCTCGTGCTTAAGCAGTCAGTATGAATGGTAAAATGCTAATAACGTTCAAAATAATAATAAGAAAATTTTGTTCAACACGAGTTTTTTGAAAATTGAATTTCTATCTCATTGACAAACGGAAATATTCTCTCGCCTTACTTCTTCCTCCGTAGACGAGAAACGTGTATGTCTATTGGAAAAAAAAGATGCTACATACAATGGCATAATATATTTCAGTAAACATTATTCGGCATTACTTCATTGAAGTGGAAAAATGAAATTCAGTTCGACATTGATTTGGAATTAAATTATAAACGAATATATAAAATTCTATACATTATATTGATACTTACTTATTGAAGAATTTATGTGCACTTTCTCAATTCATTTTCATTATCGTCATCACCCACACAATCATTTCTAAATTGAATTTTCATTTCATTCACAAAAAATAAATTGAATTATGCTTATTATATTTATTGAGGGGAACATTTTTTGGCTGTTGATGTCGCAAATGAGCACATTGATGTTAAATTATAGTTAAATGACCTCTTCTGATACTTGGAAAAAATTGAATTTAATTTACTGAAATGAAATTTTGTCTGAAAATCATCCTGGAAAATTTGTTTTGTAATTCAATTTTCCCATCTTTACGTCGTTTGCAAATAAAATTTGATTCATTTTAATTAAATTGACAAATAGGGTGGGAATTATGATGATTGAGTCGAAAATATGCAATTAGTGGCTTTGTGATATCAACGCAAATTTTTTTATGAGATTGCGTTTATTTTTGATCAATCAAAATGTTTGTGGGATTTTATTGAAATTTATTAAATAAATATTGATTTTGCAGGTATCGATGACTGCCTTTATTTGTAGGCTGTCCATCGGTTTTTGGAGGCTTTTAGTCAAAAGTTATGTCGTGATTTCAGCTCTGAAAAATCGGGATAGACGAAATTTTCAAGCACTTTTCAATAAATATAGGTTCAAAAATGCAGGACATTGAGGATTTTAGGTGGAATTGTCCGTTAAAAAATTAAGAAGGTTCGAGTTATTGTATTATATGGCTCAGAAACGTGGAATTCTACGCAAGCTATTTGTGCCTTCGAAACACGAGTATTGCGAGCGATTTATGGACCTATGAAAAGGAAGAACAGTATCGAAGACGATACAATGACGAACTAAATCAGTTATTCCGGGATTCTGATATTATTTAGGTTCTCCGTACAACTCGCTTAAGATGAGCTAAGCTTGTGTTTAGAGGTTCACAAAATGCCATAGCACTTAGCGTGACTGTTGCAAATTTTATAGATGACAAGAGATCTAGAGGATTACCAACGAATATTGGATATGTTGATAAGGACGCTAGAGTCCTAAATATCCCGAACTGGTCTCGAAGGCTAGAGCTGTCTTTAGACGAACTCTGTAACGCGGCAATGACGCAGTTAAACAGTTTATTTATATGTCACATTTTGGCTTAGTATTGCTAAGGCCTTAAGTCTTACTAAAGACTCATTTACTAAGGAAAGAAGGGAGGAAGGGGAAAAGGTAAGGGTTGAAGTCTATTGAGGGATGCAGTTCCAGCAAAGTAAAAATAACTAGAGACGTCAACTAAATGTTTTTAATATTGATTTAAATTGCCTGCCAAGTTTCAAGGGTCAGACACTCCAACAGAATTGTAAAGATTGTACAATCCTTACAATCCTTACAATCTTTATATGAGAAGGATTGTAGGGATTGTAATCCTTACAATCCTTATATGGAAAGGATTGTAGGGATTGTAATCATTGGATTGCAATCCATATAAGGATTGTAAGGATGAAATAATTGTATGGATCATTTAAAAATGTTTTTCATGGGTTATTAAAGAAGAAATATTACTTTAATATTAAAAACTTTTTGTTTGAATTTAAAGAACGAAATAAGCTTGATATATCAATTTTTTCCCTTTTAACCAGGGTGATTTAAATCAAAAATCAAAATCAAAATCTTTTTGCAATGATTTAAAAAAGGATTTTGATTTAAATCATTTTTTCAAAGGGATTTTTTTGGATTTTGATTTAAATCTATTGTATGGAAGATTTAATTGGGATTTTAAAATCCCTCCATGTAAGATTTTTGTTTTCAATTTTTCAAATCAACAGTTTTCAGTTGCAGTTCCTAATAAGTAAGAATGCAGTTGTTCCTTTTTTGGCCTGAATCTTGCAACTGGATCTTTTAGATCCAAATATTTCTTAAAGAAAGGTTACAGCAACCAATGGTTCCATGCTGTTTGACTTAAACGAAATCCAATTCGTGATTTTTAATCTTCTATGCCTTGCTGCTTGCATATAAATAACTGGACTTCATCAAGGATGCCTGGATCTTACTTCATATGAGGATTTACTTGCTTTCAATGATTTAAAAAACTTAAATATCTTTTATTACAGTAAGTTAGTTTAATGAGTCATAAGCAAGAATAGGCACTTGAACTGCCTGGTTCCTTTACATCCACAAAAATTTTTTTGTTGCTTTTTCATCAAGGATTCACCTCTTGAAATCAAAATTTTTTTGCGGAAATGGCCGGTTCTTTTCGTACATCAAGGCACAGAAGATAAAAAATCACGAATTGGATTTCGTTTCAGTCAAACAGCATGGAACCTTTGGTTGCTGTAACCTTTCTTTAAGAAATGCTTGGATTTAGAAAATCCAGTTGCAAGATTCTGGCCAAAAAAATGATCAACTTCATTCTTACTTATGAGGAACTGCAACTGAAAACTGTTTATTTGAAAAATAATTTGAGAAATTAAAAACAAAAAATCCCAATAAAATCTTCCATACAATAGATTTAAAACAAAATCCCCAAAAAATCCCCATACAAAAATGATTTAAATCAAAATCTCTTTTAAAAATTATACTTTTTACAACTTTTTAATGAGTTAAAATGTATGAAAGATCATTCGAATTAATCCACAGTAAATTATTGCATTTTAAATATAATTGTTTTTAAAGAGTTTTAGTAAGGATTGTACAATCCTTACAATCCTTATATAGAAAGATTGTAGGAATTGTACAATCCTTACAATCCTTATATGAAAAGGATTGTAGGGATTGTAAGGATTGTTCAATCCTCACAATTCGTATGGAAGGATTGTAAGGATTGTACAATCCTTACAATTCTTTTGGAGTGTCTGACCCTTGCCAAGTTTTAAGCCTATCAAATTAAATTCCTCGAAATTCTACATCAAAATGCCAACCACAGAATCGAAAACAAATCAAAACCGATTAACAAATTTTAAGCTATAAATTTTATAACCAATTTACATGATTATTAAAACAAATTTAATGCATTATTGAACATTTAATTTAAATTGTCTATAAATCTACATTATCATATATTATATCATGATAGATAGTAATGAAATCAGTAACAACAATCAATTTAATAAAATGAAACAGAGCAAAATATGTAAAATTTTGCACTTATAATGCTGCTATGCACAAAACACAAATACCATTAACAACAATGTTATATAAAACAAGCTTAAAATTGAGAGATTCACAATGAAAAATTATAAATTAAAATAAATTATATAAAAGCTTTAAAAATAATGTCTAAATCCCCCCTTATGTGTTCAAACTTTTAACTTAATTTAAAATTCAAATGACAAAAATTCAATCATATTTTTTTAACATTAAACGGAAGCGATTTTCTATAAGACGATTTTTCCATACGACGTTGTGCTAAGAGGATTGAATGAAAAAAAAAATCTTTATTTGTAAACAGTTATGACATCGACGTTTGCAAGGTTGAATCTATTTTGGGAATTTGAATAAATTTGTGGCTCTCTTTTTGCGCCATCGTCAGAATAAGTTTTTTGACATTATTTTTAGCACAAGATGAGTTTGAAGTCATGACAACATTGGGTAGAAAATGATGTAATTATTATAATTGAAATTCTATATAATGGTTCACAATTGTCTGATATTTCTTTGGATTTTTGATGCGTATCAAATAAATGGACTTGGATACTGAAACTGAACGGATCAATGAATAATTGTGAGCTGATTTGGAGAGGATGGCGATTTATTTTTATTTTTAACATTAAAATGTCAAGTGTCTTTAATAATTTTAGTAAAAAAGTTCATGTTCTGACGGTTTGCAGCTCTTCTAGACATTCTTACTCTTTGCAGAAAAAATTCTGGTTTTAAGGGGCTTATAAAATCTGAGAACCTCTTTCATTCTTATTAATACCTCCTCCCTTAGTCGACGTCACAAGGAAATGACCCCATTCCGTAAACCTAATAGCTAGTCCAACTAAAAGTAAAACTAAAGAGCTTATAAATGTTTGGTACATTTGTTCTAATTAAATGTGACTTTATATAGCATCAATTAATTCTTACAAAAGACGAACATAATATTAAATCTTATAATAATATTAAATCAACCCTCCACAAAAATTTTATGGTAGACTGAAGAAAATAACAATTTTCCTCAAGACTCTTGTACAATAATTCAAGCCAAATTCATTATCTCAACATCTTCGGAATGATGTGAAGTGAAAAGAGCATAGCAGAAAATTTTTCTATCCATTGAACTTAATCAAAACAACTCAAGTACCCCGCAAAAGAGAGAAAATAATTTCATGATATTATCACTGCAATTCCATTTCAGCATATCCAATTTCAGACAAAATGAAAATAAATATAAATGAAAATTAAGTGCTTAATTAAATTTTTTTTTTGCAATTTTATATAGATCTATCTAGTATTTTTGTTCGGTACTCTACATCACCCCTAAAATTGCCACTCAACAGCTCTCATTACAAAAATTAAACTGGGATTTAATATATAACGAGGAAAATAAAAAAGCTGGAGAACGAGAAGATGGGAATTAAAGCGAAATGAGTAGTGAAGGCAAGGCTTGGATACAGGGACATAGGCCAAAAAAACAAGGGGGGGGGGGGGGGGTTGACAATATTTTTTGCTTCTTTCCTCTTAATTTTATGGTTTTGTTAATTTTATAGCACTTCTCTAAAGACGAGGAGAGAGAAGGGTGGAGTCAGAACTTAACGCCATGCCTGAGTTTCGTCATCTTCGAATAACCGACTTGTGCTATTCAAGATAATTTGGAGAACCAAAAATCTTCAGAATAAAGTTCAAAATTCACTCTCTTGGGAGCCTGTTTCCTGAACATACCCCCCTCCATCATGACTAGCTGTAAATAATCTCACAACAATTGCCAAGCCTCGACAGAGTACTTACGGATTTACTATGATACAATTTTCATTTTTATATACTTTTCATTATAAATGAACTATCAGATAATCTTAACATCCTTATGTACTTTACGTACTTTAAGTCTTGAAGCATATCATTTTAGAATGGTCATTAAGTTGGAAAACCAAACGAGAGTTAAAATTATAGAAACATTCAAATGATGGGAGATGGAAACTAGGATTTAGTTGCACATAAAAGTTAATTGAATTTTCTCACTCACCCTGTCTTTAATATTTTATTCCATCCCATACTGCCCAATACAAAAAAAAAGATGCTACTTCAAGTGTCATGGGTTAGGCATAGAGACATTCATTTATTGACTGTGGGAAGATATACGTAAGTTTGTCATAAAATTTTATGTCACTGAATAAAAACTCTAAAACTTCTCCCATATAAAATTTAATTTAGGTATACATCTGACCAACGATTTAAAGCTATTCACCATCCACATTCGGAAGACTGGATACTTCAAATAAAATATCCACAACATAGGGATTCAGGTGAGTATCTGCTACATGCTTTTTGTTTTGTTCTCTGTTTGTGTGAAATGAAAAATAACAGACAGAGAAGAACAAGCCACAAAATTCCAAAATGGTAAAATTTCATCCCTTAAAAATTGTTTTATTTTTATTTTCTATATGCTTGCTGCATTCTTCAGGCATTTATGAATGCCAAATCTCCACAACCCCACACATGTCACATTTCATTCATTTGAATGTCATAGGTAAGTTGAGAAAATATTTTTTTAATGTCAAAATAAAAACACACACAGAAAAACTTGTGCTTGATATATTTTTAGTGATTCTACGAAAAACATTAAAATAAAACTTTTCCTTTTAACAATTTTTTTATGATTGAACAGCACAAAAAAAATAAAATAAAAACTTTTTTTATAACAAGAACAAGATGAGATAAAAATGACGTAGAATAGAAATTTTATGGGGTTCAAGGGGGTGACAAACTTTTCAGTGACTTTAATTTATTGGCGCTTTGACATTAATAGCTTCATGGTGAGAAAAAATTCGACTGTTTTTCAAAGTTTCATCATTTTTTTGTTCTTTTTTTTAATTTCATAATAAAATAAAAAAAAGCCTTTTGGTGTTGTGGGTTGATTACTTGTAGATTCGTGACCTAGACAAGTTGCTAAAGCGCATTCAAGTAATTGTAAGAACTTACTTACTTACTGTTTCCATGTTCCTATGTGGAGCTTTGGGAGGGTGACCAGATGTTTTTTTGAAAAAAAAGACCTAAATGGAAAATAGAGTTTTCTGGACGAATAAGAACGGCACAAAGCTATTTTATTTTTGAAAAATGAAAAACTAGAGGACTGTTCTCTGAAAACCAAGCAGATGGTCACCCTAAGCTTAGGTTACAACAAAATTCTTTCCAACTGACTCTGTTTCTGGCTTTGTCACCTAGTTTGTACAATTTGTCTGTCCACACATTAAACTGACATTTTTTCATCACTGTTCTGCGCCAAGTGGCTTTTGGATATTCTGAGTTGTATGAACGGGAAGATTTAACCTCTTTTAAAAATCCTCAAAGCCACGAAAAAACCGTAACCTGGTTAAACAATAATCAAAGACCTATTTCTAAGGCTAAGCTAGTGACAATAAATTTTATTGACATGCATCTAGCATCCTGAATTTAATATGAGTTTTGTTCCAAAAAAATGTTCTAAGCCCGGTTCTTAGGTCTACACGGAGCACCATAGAGCAGAACTTAATTTTGATGTACTACAATATGGGATATAAAAAAAATTAATCTAAGATTAGGGTATAATGACCCAGGTAGCCCGAGGAAAGGGGCCCTGTTCTAATATCCACTGTATAGTTCTTCAATTTTCAGTTCTTAGTGCTTTAAAAGCTCTTCAAAGAGCTAAAGCAAGACATTTTTTTAAACTGTGTTAATCATTTTGAATGAACTGCGATTCTTATGCCAAGGGGGAAGCTTAGAAGTTGACTACCCTTTTATCTACACTCATGTCACTAACAGTCCATAACCTTTTAAACAATAGTAACTCAATCTCCTGAAAAATCAGAAAAATAAGCTAAAAATGAAGCTTAATAAAAAAATCTTCTTAAATTCACCCAGTTCTTCCCCCCAAAAAAGAAACCATAAATAGATGTATATCATAAAAATAGATCAGTAATAAAATGCTGACACCGCCTCAAGTGATAAGATTTTAATCTCGATTTAACGTTCAATAATAAACCATCCAAACTTATTTTTCATCAAACTTCAAAAAACAAAACAGAAAAAAAAACCTTGAATAGTCGCCAGAAAAATTTAGAATCACATTTCATGCGTCAATGCTTGACTAAGTTTAATGTCATCTGAAATATAATAAATTACTCGTATCGGAATCAGAAAATCAGGCTTTCTTCTTCGTTGTCCATCATTCGTCACACAAAAAAACAGCGATTTTCTTTCTTTTTAACTGCCACAAGTAAAATTATATATGCAAAATAATTGTAATAAACCGAAAACCTTGGGCATATAAAAAATTTTTTATGGTGATCTTGTAAAATTTATGAGCGTTCTCCTCATCATAGAAAGGTCATGCTAGTCCTACCGAACAAAGCGACCCTTCAATTCTATGACAATGGTAGCAGCGTGTTTGAATATCTATCAGGCAAGGAAGAAAAAAAGCTTCTTCATAAACAAAATTGTGCTTTTGTATCTATTTTTTATCGCTACTCTTTATTTATTTCCTCTTTTTGTGTATTATACAATGTGATGAATAAAGAGAAAAAAAAAGCCCCTATGGAATTCGAAAAAGTCACAAACTCTGCAGAAAAAAAATATTTAATCCAAAAAAGATGAAGAAGGAGGGAAAATGAAAATGGATGTTGCTATAGTCTGAAAATTTTCGGGGTTGATTGGTTATGCAATCGATTATTTTGTTCTGATAAGAGAATCGTGGAACAAAAAAAAAGGGTGAAGATTTATTGGCTGTAACCTTTTCATATCCATAACAACATTTTGTAATGATTGAGGGATCGGTCTCTAGTGGGAATCGAACTCACGTCCATAATGAAAAGTAGCGGTTGAAGAAACTTTAAGTTTAGTTTGTGGAACTCAAATTAGGTCAATTCGACATAACATAACAAATTTTAAGTAAAATTAAGGTTATTTGCTTAAATTGTGTCAAGGATAGATATGGCTTTTGTATAGAGGATAGCTATGAGCAAAAGGACAATTTTTATAGCTACCTGAAGTACCAGAATCAAAAAAATATTGAATCAATTCTGGATTTAAAATAAATCAAGACGTAGACAATCAGGATTAATATTAAAAAAATTGAAAAGAATGAAAAAATTCTAGCACTTCTTGTCATAAAACTTTGAATCCGGACTGAAATCCCTCAATTATTCATGAACTGAAGTAGGTGACCAATTGAATGGTTTCAATTGGGATTCAAAGCTTGATGACAAAAACTGCTAGAATTTTTTTTGGGATTTTTTGAGATTAATCCCGAATTTATACAAAGGGTGCGTTACTGATAAATTACAATTTGATAATTTTTGATCATTTTTGATCATTTCCGCACCCTTGATGTATATGCCTTGAAAAAAAAATAACAAAACCATAGTTACCCTTAAAAACTAACCCCTGATGCTCAGCCAAGAAGGAACAAATTCTAATATTAGGGACATAAACCATTAATCGTAACCAAATGATATCGCGTAGCTAAGAAAAATTGGGGTTTAGAAAGCAATTTATAGGTCACAAAAAATTACTTTATATGCATTTTGGGGAACCAGATTTTAAAATTTATTTAAAAAAATAGAAATAAAGGTTCCCATGAAGTCTCAAGTTTATTAGTAGCTATCATAATTCCCAGGCTCGGAAACTAGGCGGTATTGCACTATGGGGCAAAATTGAAAAAACAGGGACTTTCACTTTGATTTTGGAATTTTTTCGAATTACAAACTAAGGTGGATTTTTTCTTGTAAAGGACATAAAAATAGACTTCTGTGCCAAATTTCAAGTCATTTGGTGCTGTTTCTGCGATTCTGTGACTGTTTAAAGTTGAAAATGAAAATGATTTGGCAGTATACCGACTAGCTTCCGAGCCTGGCATAATTCAATACCTTTTTTTAAGTAGTTATAGTTCACACCCCTTAAAAAATAAATGCCCCCATTATAAAAGTTCATTAATGATCAAAATGTTATCAAAAACTCCAATCTTAAACGACTGCTCACCAGTCTAACGAGCAACACTATTAAGGTACAACAAAATTTGATAATAAATTCTAATTTATTGCCAAAAACTATAAAAGTTATAAGCTTCCATATCGTAGAAACAAGTTTCATTAAAGCATCACATTATTTCCTAAACATAAACTTATTATCGTACGACGTTATAGTCAATACATAATATAACATAAAACATAAGAGAATTTTTTTTTTATTATTAGCAAAACGAGAAAATTGCTGCAAACCACAATACACAACATCAATGAAATGAAATAAAATGTTTTCTATATCTTTTTGCAATGTCTTCTATCTCTTCCCCATCGGTCTCTCTTATTTTGTGTTTTTCCGTTGTCATGGCATAGAAACAACAATTTTCTATCTAGTCGGGCAATGGCAATAAGCAAGTAGTAGAACAACATTCATAAATATTCTCTTGTGTGATTTCAAGCGGCTAATCTTCATCCTTCATTTTGATTTCCTGACTACGATACTGACGAAAGCAAAAAAAAAAATAATTCAGCGATGAGAGTGAGAGAGAGAGGAAGCAATGAGGATAGAACAGAAAAAAAGAAACATAATAAAAATGGTAAAGAAAAAAAAATTCTGCTGAATAATATAATGTGTGTTGAGAATGTATATGGAATGGATGAAAATATTTGACATCTACCAACAAACAATATTTTCATTTCGAACAATAACAAACAGCATGTTTTTTGCTACCATAGCTGCTATGAGAGCTGTCAAATTTGTTGTACGCTGCGAAATGAGCAGAAAATGACAAGCAACGAGAGAGACGAATACAAATAAATATATTTAAGCAATATACATCCATAGACTTACGAATTATTTGGGGGTAGTAGCAGAAATCACCACCGGAACAATAAATAAAAAATAAATTTAATTCCTGATTCATTGCCTGATTTTATCGCAACTTTACCACACACAGAGAACGAGCAGCAAATATTCGAGATATTTCATTTTGATGGGATGGATAGAGATAGGAGAACTGGATAAGTTGAATGATAAATGCTTAATTTTAATGAACAAGACGCATTGGATCATTAATCGTTCATTTTTAGGCTTGATTTGGAATAGCTTCGTTTAGATTAACTCAATTTGAACTAGTTGCGTCCATTTGAGATCAAATTGAACTATTGGTATCTTCTGAACCTCGAATTGAACTAAACGCATCCTTTGAAGCTCAATGTGAACAAGTCTAAAGACCAGTAAAGCTCAACTTGAACTAAACGGATCTAGCTGAGCTCGATTTGAACTGATCGTAACCGTTTTAGAATGAGTAGGGCTATATTGGTTCAGTTAATATCAATTTGAACTAGTCGCATCCAGTTGAGCTTGATTTGAACTAATCTTGTCCATCTGAGTTTGCTTTGAGCTGGTCACGTCTAGTTGAGCATCGTTTGAACTTACCAAATTCAATTCAAGACTGGATTCAGTTTTCCTTGTACTGAACAAGCACAAAACCTAAAAGCTTGTGAACAAACTGAACTTATCCATCAAATT